AGAATTTGGTGCAGCTGTGCATGGTAGCCAGATTCTAACTTCAGCTTGTTAAATTACGTTTTCGCAGTAAAACCTGGAAGCCGATTGGTTTCTGTGCACAGCTGTGCTAGATTTCGCACTCTCCACTTTTAGTAAATACCACCAATAGTGACTGCTAGTCACTGTATACACTGCTCCTCTCTGCCGCCCCCTTACATCTGCAGTACACACAGTCCCCTGCATAGGCAGAATTTTTCCGATCGGCAAAATGCCAATAGGGCCATTTTCAGCCGGTATGTTTCGGTGGCCTACATTTTGGTGCATCCCTAATAAACAGAGAGAACTGCGTAAATTGGCGGCGCTATACAAGTACCTGTAACAAATAAAATAACCCTAGTGAGGGGGCGAGTCTGTGACACAGGTTTATTACCTTAATGAATAGGATGCAAAGTAAAGAAGAAAAAAAAACAAAAAAACCCTTGAGGCTTTAAAACCACTTAAAGCTGCAACAGTGGCCCGCATGACGGGACGTTCACCTGCTGCTTTGTGGCAAAGTTCTACCCGACGTTGCGCTGAGCACACGGTACTACCGCAGAAGGAGACCAATTCAAAAGAGGGGCAGCCCATTGGCTGCACAGTCCTCTCAGGGTTAACAACCGATGAGGCAGCAAGCTACAACACCCCAGCCACCTATCGCAGGTGTGAACAAGCCCCCTCACATGTAACTTACTCCTGATGTGACAGAGCTCTGCCATCCACAAGCAGAAAGCAAACAACAGCAGCATGCTTACCAACCCCCGTCTCCAGCCGTCACCCCAGCCTCCCATGCTGCCACAATGACACTGCAGTCGGGGTGGGTGTGACAAGCCGGGCTGGGTCGAAGCTAGGACTTGAACGGCGGACGAGTGTGTACCTATGAGCGGGTATCCGCTGACTGCCGAGTCCTTTCCCGACTAGGAAATGCACGTCACTCAGCACTTCGTTGTTAAACAGAAAAGTGAAGCGTTCCCGCACCGTGGTCTTAGTGGCTTGCCAGTTATAGACGGGTTCTCGGTGCAGGAGGCCGGCGGCCGCAGCTAGGGGCGGAGGCGGAGCCGCTGGAGGCGAGGCCCCGGCCGAAGACGCTGCCGATGCAGTTTGGTTCCCCGGGGAGGAAACCGCTGCCCCTCCGCTGTAGTTGTACGAAGAGGACGCCGTCCCACCGCGATTGCTAGGGGCGCTGTTGCTCACTACACCGGAGAACGAAAGGCCACCATTCCCACCCGCCGCCATCTTGGATGGGGGAGGCTCCCGTGGGCGGCTGTAGGCGGATGTAGCTGCTGGAAGTTCCCAAGAACTGTTCGCAAATAAAAGCGGGCAGCAGCGACGCATGGGGCGGCGTGGCCCTAAAATCGCTATGGCAACGGGAAAAGCGCAGGCATCAGATTGACTTAAAAGAGTGTAGGGGTGGAACTTGTGACCTTGACTACGAGAGATGGGAATGATCGGGCCTGTTGATTGGACGAGGAAAGTGACGGCGTCGAGCTCCAAAACTGCGGACACTTTGTTTAGTTCCTGTTTGTCCTCCAGGCGCCATCTTAGGTCACGTGTCCAATGGCAGAGTGCGCTGATTGGCGCTTCCAACAAACTTCTCACGTTCACTCTTTCGTCCCTTGTGGACTGCTGACCGATGATTCTTATCTGTCCTCAGGCAATCCATTTTGTTTTTTGTAGGCAGGCAGTTATCCAGGTTCTATATTTTTTTGCCTATAAGCCGTGTATTTATTAAAACAAATGCTCTTGGAACTGTGGTGGATTTGATAACACCATGAATATATCAGACACCAATATTTACACTAAAATAATATTGGAAGCACCCCAACTTCTGCAGTACCCACTTTTACACACGTCACATCCCTTAGGGCTGATTCACACCATAGGAATGCATTTAGGATGCGTTACTGTGTGTTTTTGATGCGTTCTGGTTAATTCCCCCCCCCCCTCTCTTTTCCTTCAATTCAAATAGGGTCATCTGCGTTCCGGTGTGTTTTTTATGCATTTTACCACATTCCAGTACAGTTCTGTGCAGGAAAAATGCAGCCTGTTTTATTTTTTTTGTCTGCAACCGGAACGCACTGGAACTGCAAGCACTGATGTAAACTATGACATTTACAACCATATAACCTACTTTCTGTGCATTTTGGATGCACAAAACGCATGTAGTGTGATCTGGCCCTTAAAGTAGAACTCCAGGCAATGTAACAATTGTGCCCAATAGAGACATGGATCCTGTACGCGAAAGCCATCTTGTAAAGGTCTCATGAGCAGTGTTCCTACTCCCCCTCCCCCCCCCCCCCCCCCCCCCCCCCCCTCTTCCTTCCGGTTGCAAACTATGGAATTTGTAGCTGTGACTTTTAGCAAACTTCAAAAGAGCCTCTTTTCTTAACTAAAACACAGATGCAGAATCCAGACCTGACCAGATTTGTAAACAGTTAATTAGTCTTGGTAGGATGTCTGTTTCCACGAACCATGAAAAACACTTTCCTCTGACCTATCGTAAAACAATAATAATTCAGTCAAGCCATCACACATGACTTGTAAGGCCATTTAACCTCTAGGAATGCAGAGCTTGCCATAAAATGTCTTCCACAACGTAGCAATTAATAGAATTCAACAGGACACATTAATATTAGGTATATATTTGAATGGGGAATATCATACCGAATAAATCAAGGTCATACAGGACTATGTTAGCACATACGAAAGGGAGAGAGCAGTCTTCTGCCTCATGGGTGACAAAGGTATGCTGTGTTAGGTATCCCTGGGTTAAAAATAATATTCTGCCATTTTCTAGAATGTATGTATTGGAAAGTATTAATATAAAACTGTATTTGGGAATTGGTCATAAACATGGTGGCACCCATCCTTTAAACTGGATTAATGGTCAGTAGGTCTCTGGTGACACCACTTTGATAGCACAGAAAAGGGACTGATAGGACTTAAGTTTTTATGCTCTTGTTTTACTGTCAAACAAGGAACACCTAAGAGAGCCAAGACAACGTTTTTGCTTGGACAATTGGACTCTGCTAAAACCAGTACTTTGCAAGTATTCTGCCTTTTTAACGTCTTTCTTTTATTTCTCTGTTGCTTTAGGGCTCGTGTACACTGCAGCTGATAAACTCACGTTTGAATGCTGGAAATTGACAGCAGGTTAAAAAAATGTCAGTTTTGATACATTTGCATATGCGTTTATGCGCGTTTGCGTTTAGAAGCGTTTTTTTAAAGATAAGCACAGGAGAACCTCCCAAATGCCCAGAATTCACTGGAAAGTGGTAAATTATTAACTATTTCAGACTGTTTCAGAGAAATACAGAGAGTAGAAGCAGAGGCAGCAGTATGTGTTGAGATTAGTTTAGGTGTGAGTTGCTCATTAATATTTCTTTTGTTTCCAAGGGTGGGAAAGGTGTCTGGTGGAGTGAGTCATTAAGGCCACCTGGCAGAGGGTCTTCATGAGGAATTTGAGGTGTGAATGGTCATTAACATATCTTTTGTTTCCAAGGGTGGGAGAGGTCTGAGGTGCTAATTGGTCATTACAATGTGTGATAAGCTTGGTAGGAACATCCTGTGTTCAGTGTTTTGTCCATTTGTGTACCTTGAAAACAATTTGCATGCATTTTTCATGATGAAAAAAGGCTCTGGACAGCATCTGGAAATGGAAGAGTGAAAAAAAAATTCCAAATGCAAATGCTTATAAACGCGGTTAGCTGCGTTTACAAGTGTTTGAAACGCTGATAAATCTACTGCTGAATGCAACTTTTGTGCGTTCAAGAAAACGACTGTAGATGCAACTGCCTGTAAACAACATAGTGTACATGGACACATAGGAAAACATTAGGGTGAGTTCAGGGGTTGCTGAAAAAAATGCTGAACAGCTCCTAAATGTGAGTTTATCAGCTGCAGTGTAAATGAGCCCTTATTGTTCTCTATATTTATCTGTAACATCCCTTTCTGTAAATATTTTAGTTGCATTATTTGACCTTTTCATTAACCACTTGCCTACTGGGCACTTATACCCCCTTCCTGCCCAGACCAATTTTCAGCTTTCAGCGCTGTCACACTTTGAATGACGATTAAAACACTGTACCCATATGAAATTGTTATCATTTTTTCACACAAATAGAGCTTTCTTTTGGTGGTATTTAATCAGCAATGGGTGTTTTATTTTTTGTGCTATAATCAAAAAAAAGCAAAAAATTTATATTATAAAATTTTGCAAATTTTTCTCCTTCACTGATGTGCATTGATGAGGCTGCGCTGATGGGCAGTGATAGGCGGCACTGATGAGGTGGCACGGATAGGCAGCACTGATATGCGACAGTGACTGGATGCACAGCTGGGCACTGATGGGTGACACTGATTGGCACTTGTGGGTGGCACTGCTGGGCACTGATCATCAGTGCCGATCTGTTTTCTGACAATTGCCGGTTTACTTTCTTCACGCTGTGACAGTGTGAGGAAAGTGCAACTGATAACCGGCAACTGCAATTACCCGGTGATCTGCTGTGTCATTGGACATGTGGTAAAAGGCCACTGTGATTGGCATTTTACCACTTCACGTGATCAACTGTGTTCGTAGGGGGCGCGTGGGAGGGCGTGTTCTGGGAGGACGTCATATGACGCCCTCCCAGAACAGGATAACCGCGCTGTAGCTGTCATTTGGCTATAGCGGGTTTGACAAGTGGTTAATAAACCTTATTTTGAAAGGTGTTAAAGCTATCTCTAAGGCTTTTAATGCAAACTAAAGAATCCCTGTCTCTTGAAGAGTGCTACTGTATATAATAATCTTCAGAATATGTGGCATAAGAGCAAGGTGGTGCCAATAATTAAAAAGGGGTCAAAATATTTTCCAAAAAATTATAGACCTGTTACCGTATTTTTTGCTCCATAAGACGTACTTTTTTCCCCCACAAAATGGGGGAAAATGTGTGTCTTATGGAGCGGCCAGCCCGGTACTCCCGCTGCCGCCGTGTTAGAATACCAGGCCGGCCACTCGGCTCATCTGTGCAGCAGACCCTGCTCCACGGTTCTACCTGTTCCTTGGTCCAGTGGTGTCCTCACTGTCTTCTCTCCCTGGCGCCGGCATCTTTAGTGTGCCCACTGCGCATGTGCGAAAAGTGCTGTGCTTTGTGAATGGTCCGGCAGTCTTCTGAGACCTGTCACGTGTCCCAGAAAACAGAGGGAGGACAACTCCATGGAAGTGGGAGCAGGTACCTTTCAAATTCGGGTACCCGCTCCCCAAAGGTCTGCAGTCTCTGGTCATCTCCTGTAGTATGTCCACAGTCTCTGGTCATCTCCTGTAGTATGTCCGCAGTCTCTGGTCATCTCCTGTATCTCCTGTATGTCCGCAGTCTCTGGTCATCTCCTGTAGTATGTCTGCAGTCCATTGGTTCGGAATAATTGTTTTTCTTGTCTTCCTCCTCTAAAACCTAGGTGCGTCTTCTGGAGCGAAAAATACGGTAGTTTAACTTCTATAGTTTGGAAGATACTGGACAGTTTAATAAAAGACCACATAGATGAGTTCTTGCTGGAAAAAAATATTTTACGCAACAGACAGCATGGATTCATGAAAGACAGAAGTTGTCAAACAAATCTGATTTCTTTTTATGAGGAGGTGAGCAAAACCTTGGACAGAGGGGTGGCGGTGGACGTGGTATACTTGGATTTTGCAAAAGCGTTTGACACAGTTCCCCACACATGGCTAATGGGTAAGGTAAAGTCTACAGGCTTGGAAAAATCAGTATGTAAATGGCTAGAAAACTGGCTAAAAGATTGTATTCAGAGAGTAGTAGTTAATGATTCATACTCTGAATGGTCTAGGGTTTTCAGTGGTGTACCACAAGGTTCAGTGTTGGGACCCTTTTTTAAAAAGAATATTGGGGAACTGGAGAAAGTACAGAGAAGGGCAACCAAACTGATAAGAGGCACGGAGGAGCTCAGCTATGAGGAAAGATTAGAGGAACTTAATTTATTCTTTCTTGAGAAGAGGAGATTAAGGGGGGATATGATCAACAAGTATAAATACATCAGTGGTTCATATAGTGAACTCGGTGTAGAACTATTCACCCTGAGGTCATCACAGAGGGCAAGGGGGCACTCTTTACGTCTGGAGGAAAAGAAATTTAGTCTCCAAACACAGAAATGTTTCTTCACAGTGAGAGCTGTGAAAATGTGGAATAGACTCCCTCAAGAGTTGGCTCTGGCCAGCTCAGTGGGTTGCTTTAAAAAAGGCCTGGATTCTTTCCTAGATACACAGAATATAACTGGATACTAACATTTATAGGTAAAGTTGATCCAGGGAATATCCGATTGCCTCTCAGGGGATCAGGAAGGAGTTTGTTTCCCTGCAGGAGCAAATTGGATCATGCTTTGCTGCATTTTGTTGCCTTCCTCTGGATCAACTGTGTGTATAGGATTATAACTTTTTTTTTTTTTTTTTTTTTTTTTTTATTAATGGTTGAACTGGATGAGCTTTTGTCTTTTTTCAGATTAACTGTGTGACAGTGTGTGTTACAGATTTTTATTGTTCACGTTTGTTCTTGCTAATATTGTGAAGGAGTTGATAGTCCCAAAGCTATCTGGTGGCAGTTTGGGGTCTGGAGGGTTCATTGTGTAATTAACTAACCCAGTGACAATCACTATCAAGCTGATGGCACATGGATTGTGGTCCTGCGAGCTGGAAATATTTGTGCAGGGAGAAGCTGAGATTGACTGGTGCTTTGTCACGAGTTGGTGAGAAGGGCAGGGGTCGGGCACCGCGTTCGTCACATATTGGCTGGCAGCATATGTGGAATAGTTCTGCATTCGAGCATTCAGTGAAGCATTAGGAATTAGCTCTGCACTGAAGGATTGTAACCTTTGTAGAAACAGTCCTTAGAGACAAATGGTGCATATTTTTAGTTTTTTTAAAGACGCATACAACAACAGTTCCTTCCTATCTCTCCTTTCTGTTCTATCTTTTCTTGCAATTATGCCTGGTTTATCAGATTACAAGATTACAAGAGGATGAGCAAAAATGATTTGTGGGCTGAGTGTGAAGCAAGAGGAATTGACGTTGGTGGCAAGAATCATAAAAGTTTGATTCGTGTCCTGCAGGAGTATGATATCCGGTCAGACCAGAACCTGGGGTAACCTGTAACTGAAGGGTTTCCCGCAATCTTCAAACCCAGTGGTTCAGATACGGTCTCGCAGGATGGGCAAACAGACTGACACTGGAGTACCACTGAATGTCACCTCCATGCCACAGCATGAGCAGGCCAGCACCAAGTGCCTGTAACCAGCATAGACTCTCCTTAAATGCAGGACGCCCTGAAAAGCATTATGGAGACTGCAGTTTCTGCAATGCCAGGCTGAGAGAGAGTAACGCCAGGCAGCGGCTGAGAGAGAGGAACACCAGGCTGAGAGGGAAGCTAATCGTCGGCATGAACTGGAGATGGCTAGGCTCCAGCAGCAGCGACAAGCTCAGAACCTTGTGTCCCTAGAGCACAGGGACACCTCTCTGCCTGTGGGCACAGCAGCCAAATTTCTGGTAATGGAAAAGGACAGTGACATTGATATGTATTTACTGTCATTTGAAAAAACTTACCATCCGTACCATCTGCCCCAAGCACAGTGGGCTCGGTACCTGACACCAGGGCTGTGCGGCCCTGGTGCCCGCTGGCTTATGTTGAATTGCCAGCGGGTCAGGATGACAATTATAAAGTTCTAAAGGATGCAATTGTCCGGAAGTATCAGCTAACCCCGAAAGTGTACTGTAAGCGATTTAGGTCCTTGCAAAAGGGACATGGGGGACTCTTATACAGGTATGGTAAGTCGCTTACGCACCACATTCCAGCAGTGGACCAGAGGCCTGAAAGCTGACTCCTTCGAGTTCCTAGAGAATCTCATGATCCAAGATCAGCTGCTGCACCTCTGTCAGACAGTTTGTGTTGGAGAGAGGACCAGCATCTGCCAAAGCAGCAGCAGAACTGGCAGATACCTATGTCAACACTCAGGTATTTGACCACCGCAAGGTTCCTTTGTATGGCTGGAAAGGAGGGAACTCACCCATAGCAAACCCTTCTACATCGGTGAGTCAAGTTCCTCAGCGGCCTGCACCTGCAGTTACTTGGGGCCAAGCCATCCCTGACTGACAACCGCAGATGTTACACCTGTGGGAAACCTAGACATCTCAGGATGCAGTATCCTGAGCAGAAGAAGACAACATCAGCTGGCCAGCAACCCTTCCTCCGTGCTGTTTGTCAGTGGTAAACCTCAGGAAAGCAACACCAACTTGCAGCCAGTCATAGTAGACAATCAAACTGTGACTGGTTTCCGTGACACTGGAGCTGAAGTCACCTTAGTCCAACCAGAGGTGATAGAGGAAAAGGACATCATCCCAGAGAAGTTCCTTACCCTCACCGGAGTTGGGGGGACCCATTCCCGCATACCCTGTGCCTATGTGTTCATTGATTGGGGTGCAGGAAGTGGCATAAGAGAGATGGGAGTCTCGGATGAAATTCCCACAGCTGTTCTATTGGGTGCTGATTTAGGTACTCTTATCTTTTACTATGCACCCCAGAGGCCCCTATGGAACTCTCTGGACATACCAAGGTACTGTATGCAGATGTTGAGTTAATATCTGGGCCACCTGTGGATGGACAGATGGAGGGGGGGGGGAATAGGGTGTGGGTACAGAGTTCCCCATCTCCTAAAGAAGGAGAGAAGACCCCCTTGCATGTGAAGGTAACGGACTCATGTTTAATCAATGTTACAAATGTAAATGTTGAATGTGATGATGATGATGCATTGCCAATATTAGTGGTCACCTGCAGTGCTGCAAGGGCAGCTGAGGCACAGGCCCTGGTCGCAGAACAGCAGGAGGATGTCTCTGGCCGCTCCCCTTGTTCTGACCCAGTGAGCTCTGCCTCCATTGAGTCTCAGCAGCTGTCATTGTTTGCCACAGGACCGCTTGCTGGGACTTGTAGTTCTGCCTTTGAGACAGCACTGCAGACAGACCAAACCCTAGAGCAGCTCTATCTGATCGTCCCCCTGCAGAGAATGACAAACAAAAGATTTACTGGGACCAAATAAAACTGTATAGGGAGTGTTTGCCCACAGAGGGGAATGATACTGACATAAGTAGGAGACAGAAATACCCAACACAGAGTGACAAACTGTGGGGGCATATAGTAGGCTCCTATGTGCCACGTCCCATAATAATTATCAAATGAACCAAAGAAACATGGAAATGGCCAATTACGGACTTTAGAGGCACTGCAACAAAAATATCTTTAAAATCACTTCATTATTTGAATGTAGACCAACACATAGCAATACATACAGATTACTCCGCTAAGAATGCAAGACTCCCAGGAGGGAGTAGAATATTCAATGCAGATTACAAAACTCATCAATAATAGTTAAAATTAATACAAAAATACTGTATCCCGGTATGGGTATCAAAAGACATAGATCAGATGTCAATGTTAGTAATCGCTCTGTAGTTACTCGACATGTTTTGCGAAAGTATCGCTTCTTCAGGAGTTACTACATAAAAGAAGGATTAAGTATAACATAATACAACATAATATGATGTTATTAGTTGTTGGTTATATAATTCCATAAATACCTTGAGGCATCGGCTACAAAGCAGAGGGTGTGTCGGGATAGATGGTAATAACACATGGAACAACCACGTGTCAGACAAGTCAGCAGGGGGATCTCACAAGGATGATAGACCACTGAGTAGTCCTTGAAAGGGGGGTCTATAATTCTAAGAAAGGCATATAAACTATGAAATAAGTACAACCTTTCCCCCAAAAGAAAGGTAGCAATTATAATAGAGGTAAAAGATGTTGTGCTAACCTTCCAAAATTGAAGACTGCAAAATTGATATTATCGTCAATTTTAAAGCTCAAAAAGGCCACTTAAAAATATTCCCTGAAGTAAACAATGTAGAAAAGATATATTAATAATAATATTGTAAAATCTGAAAGAATCAAATAAAAGGGGGAAGAAATAATGAAAATTCTTATTAGGAAGGGTATTAAGGACGGTCAATGTATAGACCACTCCAATGTCAAGTGGTAAAAACTGTACTAACCTTATTAGGGTACAAACGGGGGGTGCTCTACAAGGACATACAACCAATATGATAATGTACATTGGTCTCACAAGATAAAGATCAAATCAGGCATATAGGATAGCTAATCCAGCTCATATCTGCGAAATAAAGTAAAAGAACCACAAGGGTCCAAAACTATGTAAAAGTTGACTACACAGAACAGTGTATAAAAAATAATAGTATGTATCTTGCATACCTGAACCGAGAGATCTGGTACCTGGCCAGTCTCACCTAAAGCACCTCCTGTTGTGGGGCCCACACAGGGCTGACTTAAGGGTC